TACCTACCGATAAGACCCGTGAAGATCCGGGGTAGAATAGGTCTTCAGCAACCCATGCTTGCCGTAAAAGGTGACTTTGCTTGTCGTAAAAGGCGACTAACGGGATCGGGTGGTCAGGCTCGCTGACTTGGTTGATGCATGTTATCGTATCCCAATTGCGTGGATCGATGCTCAAGATGTCAATCACTGGATTATCTGGTCCAGACTTGGGTATTTACAGACCGCCGTCATATAGCTGGCATATTGCTGAGTTCGGCGTTAAACAACAAACAAACAAACAAAGGCTACCGATAATTACTCAAAACAGAAGTTGTGAATAGATACAGAAGTTGTGAATAGATATAGATGTAGCTATAACCGCGCTGAATTGAATGTAAAATGTAGTAACAGGTAACCTACAATGTAGGTAGCTGTAAATGAAACGCGAACTCGTTGGTGTTAGCAAATATATGAAACAGCATTGGTTGAGTCCAATATTTCCACTGGGTTGTCGATCTGAATTACGGAATTACCGAAAACACCCTTAACCCTCTGGATGCCGAGATTTTTTTCTGACGCACATTTTCCTAAGATCGGAAAAGTGTGCGAGAATTGCGCTCACGCCGCACTGGATCTACCTCTGGCTATAACATTACGCAGAGGTGGAGAATATTAAATTTCCTATTTGATGGTGTGAATTTAACTGCAAATATTAAACCGGTTTTAAAAAAGACACTTCTAAGTTTTTTCCGAGAATTTATTCTGCGTTGAAAAACAGTAAATTTCTCCGCTTTTTATCGTACACCGATAAAAGTACTGTGCGACGATTTCTTTTATTTAGAAGCTTTACGGAAACTGTGAGCGAACAAAATACTGCCTAATATCTGAACGAAATAACTACATATCAAATGGAGTTATATGCGTATGTATAACGACATACATTCAATGCCAAAAATAGCATGCCGTAAATGACGAAAACTGATTTTTCTCTATGACGACAAAAATGCGACCGAGAGGCTACACATGTACAAAGAAAAGGGAGCATAACTCCGCTATGCATAACTCAGGTCCTGCTACCGGGGAAGACAATCATGGGGGGTCACTTGAAGCATTTGCGCAAGCAAGAACTGTTATCTGGCTCTTGTCTGAGGCCGAGAAGTTATAAACTGTCTGGGGTCCTCGTTCGGCCGGTACCCTACCACTCTTTGGACACATGGGGAAACCAGACTCATCTGCATTATACAGCCTTGATTGGTCATGTAAGATGTCTGAATCGGTTTTGTCAGCGATGTTGGTTGTGAAGGTATCAAACCAATCAGCATTTTTTGTGTGTGATATAATCTGTTTTAAAATCTGATTAAACTAGACATTATAAACTAATTAAAATCAGATTATTAGAATCTTAGAAGTTGTTGGTGTTCTTATTGATATTGTAGGGTTTCGTTTTAAGAAAGCGCTAAACCAATCCCTACCAGGTCTGTCATCAGTAAAAGGATTCTCCCTGCCATCTAAAGTGATTATTTTCTGGAACAGTTCGTCCCTTGTACGGCCGTACCCTATACTCGACATGTGTATGGCCCAATCTGAAAGATGTCTTTCTTCGTCCTGTGATACAATTGGTGAAGGACCTTTGCGGTAAACAAGAGGTTCTTTATTGGAGAGTTTGTCATGAAGAGTACTTTTGGGTATACCGAACGCGACGGCAGCTTTGCTCACAGCATTCATAGCCCGCTTTAAGTTTTCATATGAATAGGCAGGCTTTCCTCCTCGAACGCTCATTTTAGCAAATCTCCGCAGACGGTACTACAATATAATTAGAACTAGTCAATGGAACTGTCATATCCATATACTGAAGAATATCGGATATGTTACTGATACTTACTATTTTACATTATCGGATAAGAATGAATGAGGGTCCTGATGGGCGTCTCTGCCGACTAAACGTTCAGTTTCATCGCAGAAGTAATCCCCAATCAGAACCCTCTTAAAATATGTCACTCACGATCGAAAAACACCTAATTTTTTCATTTTGAATTTCCTTAATAGTTTTTTCATTTATTTTTATTTTAAATTATTCTAATATGTATTTCCAAATTTTATTTGTCAACTGTCCGAGGCCTGCCTTCCCACGTAATTTCTCCGAGGTAGGTTATTTTAAGAATTTTCGCGCCAAACGTGGTCGATTCACAAGAAGCCGTCAAAACAGACCACTCACCAATTCTTCTTTTTTTTCAAATTCCCAGAGTAAGGAAATGGGAAGAGGCTACTGGAAGTTTAATACTTGACTTTTAAGAAACAATGAATATATTGAAATAGTAGAAGACACAATATAAGATTATATCAGTAAAAAACTGATGAACCAATAAATTTTTATGATAATATTAAATTCAAAATATCTGATGCCCTTTTTCTGGAAACTTTTCTGATGAAACTTCGAGGTAAAACAATTTCATTTGCCTTTTTCTGAAAACAGACAGACAAAAAGACGACCAATTATCAAATAAGACTTCTTGTTGGGAAGATAAAGTTAGAAATGGCTTCCTAAAGAATAATGAATCTCTACTTTCAGAGTTATAAACATGTACGTTGCAGCTTGAACACATTCATTAAATAGAAGTTAGAGGAATTCAAGTAAAAAACAGGATAAGATGGTATGAGGAAGGGGAAAAAACAACCAACTATTTTTGTCTGGAAAAGTAACTGGTAAAGTAAACAAACCTGGACTTCTTTTATTAATCGACTTCGAAAAGCATTTGACACTGTTTCAAAAACATTTATATTGCAAGTATTAGAATACAATTGGCGTTGAGCACAATTTGATAAAATGAATAATTAATTAAGGAACAAAACGTCTGTAATATTAAAAAATGACATCTCTCAACATGTTTAACATTAGAACGGGGATGCAGGCAGGGAGACCCAGTATCACCATATCTATTCTTTTAGTTGCTGAAATACTAGGATGCATGATTGGAGTGTTCACTCACATGATTTATTGCACTTTATGATGTAGAACACAAACTCTTGCAATATGCGGATGACACCCAACAGTTTTTTGATGGATCAGAAGACAATCGCTATGTAGCTATTGAAACAGTTCGACAAAATGTCTCGTTTGGGAAATAAATTTAGACGAAACTAAAGCTATCGGGATAGGTGCAATGACAGGAAGTAATGTCAAGTTGTGTCAGGAGATAAAACTTGACTGGCACACAGGGAAGTTTGAAATATTAGTTATAAATCTTAATTTTAATATACACAAGGAAAAGAATAGACAATATAAACAGTATTTTATCAAACAGGCATAAACGAATTTTGACCCTCATTGGGAACATCACTGTTATAAAAACCTTGTAGCTTGAATGTGAACTCGACTCTCGTACATATTTTTTCTGCACTCCAAAACACTCCAAGACTTTCCTTAGACCAAATGAACACAACGTCTTCAACGTTTCTATGGAATGATAAAAGAGATGAGCTTAAAAGAATTACCATCATTAGAAGATATTATGAGGGGTACTTGGAATGAGAGAACTGGAATCTTTCATTGATGGATTGAAGCTATTTAGCCTTAAAAGATAGTTACAGAGTAACAGACACATTCAGAATTTGCCAGTTCGAGACATTATTTTGCTTGGGGCTAATAATTGAGTGAGTATGGTTTTACGCCGCTTTTAGCAATATTCCAGCAATATCACGGCGGGGGACACCAGAAATGGGCTTCACACATTGTACCCATGTCGGGAATCGAACCCGGGTCTTCGGCGTGACGAGCGAACGCTTTAACCACTAGGCTACCCGACCGCCCCTTGGGGCTAATATAACAAACTACACAGGCCAAGGTCATCCTTTCTGGAAAGTTTCTCTCTGCATAGGGGTAAATACTTGACAAAACACAATCACAACCAAAAGAACAGATAATAGTAGAACCATCGTGGTAAATCATGATTATAAAAACATCATACATAAATAAAATTGGTTTAATCAAGGTATTCATTTGTTAAGTGATATTTGTCATAACAATTGTTTTTCTTTCTTTTAAACAACTTAAAGGAAGATTAAGCGTTAAAAAAGAATACTAGATTATAAACATTTTAAATAACATACAGAGACAATGGAGAGAAACACTTAAAGATCAATATTACTGTGGATGCAAGAACACAAAACTAATAGTCGCATCAACAGGGTTTATTGCGTGACGTTTGACAGTTTACAGTTTATACTTGGAGCCATGGCTTTAGGACGAATGGTGACGAGTCGGTAACGAGTTGAAGCGTCGATGAGTTGAACAGTTGATGAGGTTCAGGAAACTACAATAAACAACAGCCTTCTGTAAATTCAGAAAATATTTACCAGTTTTCCTAGTATTTAGCACATTCAAAATTGCATCAAAATGAAGCAATAAATACATTGACTACAATGAAATTATGCAAAATTACCAAGCACACATTTGCAAATATAATGTAACAGTTGTGTGAAATATCTAAACAATTTTGCACTAAATTAATATTTTGGCATATATACAATTTCAGGACGTTCAGAAATAAACATAAAACCTAGTAATGAAAGGCAAAGGTACTCACATGTGTCCCTACATAGTTCAAATATAGCAGGCAGTAAGGTGAGAACCTGGCAGCATGGAGGTCCAATACACATTGGTGAGCATGTGCTTCGAAATTCATGAGCTTTGAAGAGGTTGCGACATGACCTGTGAGCTTTGACATTGCACATGAAGGTTAAGGTCACGGGGTAGTGGAAAGTTACTGAGAACATGTAAACATTGTATGCACGTATCTCAGAATTGATAGTTACGTGGAAATTGAACTTTAGAACATTAGTGTAATGATAAAGTGTCTTAATCATTGGACCACCATGGATAATAAGTTAAATCAATTGTTTTAATTTTAACTTGATTTCATGTCATTTCATTCCTAACAGTTCATACTTTGAAGCATTAGAAAATCTTGCATCTACGTATACAATTATATATATATATATATATATATATATATATATATATATACAACAAAAGTATCAACATGGTTTATTTTAATCTACTTTCTAGTACAAAAGAAATTCGAATGTTTTTACGATATATTCATCATTTCAAACAAATTTGATAAAAGTTAGAAATTGGAAAATATATTTTCTAAAAAATACAATGGAATAAAGTATTTATCCAATTTAGAAAATCGATTATAGACGTGAAATTGTAAGAGTTCTAGTATAAATTCATATGTAAAATTGTTTACACAAAAAAGAATTACTTAAGATGATACTGACTGATAATGATATATGCTCCACTTGCAGCTGTACTAGCGAAGATCTTTTTCATATTTATTGTGACTGTGAATGTGTTCTTGCCTTTTGGATGTAAGTTCAGTCATATATACATTTTGGCTTGATACTGATAACACTGTTCAGAAAACCCATTCTCCCAGCATGTAAAAGATTTATAAATGTCTCAAGCATCAAGCAGGAAATGTTATCCTTTAAGACCTTTTCAAAGGTTGTCACGGACATTTGTAAAACAGAAAAAAAATATATTACTTATAACCAGAACAATATTTATTTTACATTAAATGGAATTGTTTGATGAACATTTAAAATTCATATGTGCATTGTGAATATTTAGATCCTACTCATCGTTTATTACTGTATTTAACAACTATGTTTGTAACCAAAGCAAACAATTTTTGTCCAAATTTGAGTCTGCTTTTATGCCTTTAAGACACCACATGGCACCACTGATCGACTGAAGCACTAAAATATAATGTAATTATAGTTCGGAAGGTTATACATATACACTTGTATTCACCTATCCCCTGTTTAAGAACAATGCTTCCCACCATGTACAATATATTTAATATCGCATGCTGTTATACCAATACCTTCCTCAATACATTCTCCGTATACTATGAAAATTGAAAACAAATCTGTTTTGAAAAAAAATATAAATCTTTTTGTGTGTTTAATATAACAATGAGTAGATGTTAAAATTGTATTTAACCTTTGCGGTTTCTGAATTATTGCCTTAGAGTTAATTATGGGACAAATCGGGTGCATACTTTTAATACTATAAACAAAGACAGGTGTATGATATAAATTCCAGTTATTGAATAAATGAAGCTATTTGGACCAAAATGGTCCATCAGTAAGCCGGTAATTAAGGGTAGAAACTGTAAGCCTGAATTTGCACCTAGGGACAGCAAAGCAATATTTTTAGATGATAGACATACATACTCTCTAGTCCATGTAAATAGACTGCTAAAGTGGGGACCTGAGAAAAAGCCAAGAAGGATCATGCTGATCCAAAGGGAAACAAGCCCATTGTACAGACTTAGGAACAGCATTACAACGCCTGCTGTCATTCCTACAAAAGAGACTGACAAAATTGGAAATGTCCGTACCCTGTCTATAAAAAAATAAGGCACAATCCTTCCTAAACTATAGAAGATCCAGAAGACTGAGGTCATATTTGAGGTGGTGTTTAGATCGACTTTAAGAGCACATTCAGTTCCAAATGTAGCTAGTAGGTTGCTGATACAACCAACTATGGCCATTGAAAACAAACTGAAGAGACACATAAGGATGACGAACATGTGCTGGATGCAGCTTTGTGATGTATCTGTGCTTTTATCTATTGATGTGTAGGGGTTTGTAGGATGATCTTGACTGTTCTTTCCTCGTCTGTAACATATAATCAGTCCTACAGTCACTGGTATTGCAATACACCCAAACAGTATGAATGGAAAGTCAAGAAATGTTGAAAAGTTATCACACCAAGACGAATTGTTGGCTTCCGCTTCCGTCAAAAACAAATTAACACTGTCAAACGTAGCATTTAACAGCGATTCGTTAAGTGGGTTATAAAACGTCACGTTCGTGTAAATGGCATTGTCCAACATGGTCTCGCCAGTTAGCATTGCCATTGATCTGTCAGGTGAAACCGTTATCTCAGAACTATTAAATGTGACGTTATTGTCACCAAATTGTTGTTTAGGGTTATCGTTAGGTGTGCCTTGCATCATGATAGTAAATAGTCCATCACTAAGGAACGGCTTCTCCAGAAGTGGACTTAGTGTAGCTCCAATCGCAACTCCACTCTGAATTAGATGGATTGTCTCCGCCCTTGTAGGCCAGAGGAGATTTGTCGTATACAAAGATCCTGTTGAAAAAAAGAATTAATATAATTACGCTTTATTATATATTTTGTATTTCATTTGGTTATTTACCATGCAATATCTCAAATAGTAGAATACTCACTCAATCATTACAGAAACATTACTAAAGAAGGGTTTACATCATTCTTGACTGTAAAAATACATGTATAAAACATGTAAAAGCTCACCGACAGCAGAGAGACCATTGGTTGTACCATATATGAAGACCAATATCTCAAATAGTAGAATACTCAATCATTACAGAAACATTACTAAAGAAGGGTTGACATCATTCTTGACTGTGAAAAAACATGTATAAAACATGTAAAAGCTCACCGACAGCAGAGAGACCATTGGTTGTACCATATATGAAGACCAATATCTCAAATAGTAGAATACTCAATCATTACAGAAACATTACTAAAGAAGGGTTGTCTTCATTCTTGACTGTAAAAAACCATGCATAAAACATGTAAAAGCTCACCGACAGCAGAGAGACCATTGGTTGTACCATATATGAAGACCAATATCTCAAATAGTAGAATACTCAATCATTACAGAAACATTACTAAAGAAGGGTTGTCTTCATTCTTGACTGTAAAAAACCATGTATAAAACATGTAAAAGCTCACCGACAGCAGAGAGACCATTGGTTGTACCATATGTGAAGACCAATATCTCAAATAGTAGAATACTCAATCAGTACAGAAACATTACTAAAGAAGGGTTGACATCATTCTTGACTGTGAAAAAACATGTATAAAACATGTAAAAGCTCACCGACAGCAGAGAGACCATTGGTTGTACCATATATGAAGACCACAGGTCCAGCAAGAGCTAAACCGCCAGTGTATGGAAACAGAAACATGGCCAGACCACGTGTGATGGTGATGATCGCAAGAACTATAAACGCGGGAAGTTTTTCCATCAGAAGACTGGATACGACAATGGCTGCTAGTGTCCCCACGCCGGCGATCAGGAAGAGAAAGGATATGGTGTGAAGGCTGACGTTCCACAAACACATGAGGTCTGGCAGAACTGGCCCGATACCAGCCAGAGATATGCCCTATGGGAGTAAACCAGTATGAAGATGCAATAATTATGTCCTCTTTCGTAAGAAAAGGGAATGGAATATTGATGTATAATATCAAAGTGGTTGTGAAATACATTGTTCGAGGATGTATACTATCCACAGTGGTTGTGATGGATATTGTATATGGATGTATACTATCCACAGTGGTTGTGACGGATATTGTATATGGATGTATACTATCCACAGTGGTTGTGACGGACATTGTAAATGGATGTATATTATCCACAGTGGTTGTGACGGACATTGTATATGGATGTATACTATCCACAGTGGTTGTGACGGACATTGTATATGGATGTATACTATCCACAGTGGTTGTGACGGATATTGTATATGGATGTATATTATCCACAGTGGTTGTGACGGACATTGTATATGGATGTATACTATCCACAGTGGTTGTGACGGATATTGTATATGGATGGATGTATACTATCCACAGTGGATCATTAGGACATTGTATATGGTCGATTACTACAATATTATGATATCAATGTGTGAAAACGGACCTGCACCTGTTGAATTGTGATCCATTATTTGTCGTTTTCACTCATTTCAAGCATATCTTGTATGTCAAATCATCCATGTTCACAGTAGAAGAATCAAATGTTGGAGGGAGATGTGGACGAAATGTAGTTCTGGCGTTATCTCGAGTGTATTGTTAACATAATCATTGTATTTCTCAGCTGCATACACAATAAATGCTAAGCATGTTATATGGATCAGTAATATATTCACAGAGGTAGCGTCGAGCATTGTGTGTGGATATATGTTATTCATAATAATCTTTTTGTATAAGGATGTATACTTCCCACTGTGGATGAGAAGGACATTGTTTATGGATGTATACTTCCTACTGTGGTTGTGAAGGACATTGTATATGGATGTATACTTCCCCCTGTAGTTGTGAAGGACATTGTATATGGATGTATACTTCCCACTGTGGTTGTGGGGGACATTGTTTATGGATGTATACTTCCCACTGTGGTTGTGAAGGACATTGTATATGGATGTATACTTCCCACTGTGGTTGTGAAGGACATTGTTTATGGATGTATACTTCCCACTGTGGTTGTGAAGGACATTGTTTATGGATGTATACTTCCCCCTGTAGTTGTGAAGGACATTGTTTATGGATGTATACTTCCCACTGTGGTTGTGGAGTACATTGTATATGGATGTATACTTCCCACTGTGGTTGTGAAGGACATTGTTTATGGATGTATACTTCCCCCTGTAGTTGTGAAGGACATTGTATGTAGATGTATACTTCCTACTGTGGTTGTGAAGGACATTGTATATGGATGTATACTTCCTACTGTGGTTGTGAAGGACATTGTATATGGATGTATACTTCCCACTGTGGTTTTGAAGGACATTGTATATGGATGTATACTTCCCACTGTGGTTGTGAAGGACTTGTATATGGATATATAATATATTCTCAGTGGCTGTGTACAATGGACAGTGCTATTGCTGAGATTACATATGCTCATTGGAAGGATTTTATTTTACATTTGTTAACGCATACCGATGTGTAAATCACATGTTTTTAACAGAATAAGTATCAGAGTTTACGATACTGCACATTACTTTTTAACCTATGATCTCCTAACAAATACTAGATAGATCCTGTTCCAGTAATCAAAACACGTTCTAATCATTCAAATACATACAGTCTTCAAGAAACGCACAGGTAGTATGTAGTTCATTGGACCTGACTACACAAAATATCCGATATATAAATTGGATATATGTTATTGGAAAATGTTGATAGCCTGGTATTCGACAAACGGTGCGTCAAAACGGAGCCATCGGTTCGCAATGTCTGAAACGGCATTGTTTTCACATTTGTCCAAAAATGTCATGGAGGAAAACAGTAAAGCAACATGCACGTGCATGTTATGGCATTCGTAACTCGTGGTAGTGACTATAAAAAGGAAAGCATAAGCCAATAATTTGTCATTCAATTGTCAACATTTTTCAAGTTCGAAAATGCCATGACTCAGCACTGCCGATCGGAACATCGCCATAGGACGTATCACGTCCACCACAGCACCATTTTGCCGCCTTTGTGACCGATACACACAGTTCAATTCCACTGCAGACCGTCCGAGAACCGGCCGATCAAGAGTTACCATCCCTGCACAGAATCGCTACATTGGACTGTTCCACTTACGCCATCCTAATGCCACAGCTAAGGAGACAGCCGAACGCGTCCCTGGTTTGAGGAGGATATCGGACCAGACTGTCAGGAACCACCTTCGCGAGGCTGGAATCGATTTGAAAGACCAGTTATCGTCCCGATTTTTCGACAGATCCATCGACAGCGACGCCTACCTTGGTGCCATACCTTACAGCCATGGAATTTGAGAAACTGGAGACGAGTGTGGTTTAGCATTGAAACAAGATTTCTTCTTCAACGGCGAGATGGAAGACAACGTGTTTATCGTCGTCGAAATGAGCGTTTTGCCCCACATTGTGTACGTGAATTCGAAACTTTCGTTTGCGGTAGTGTCATGGTGTGGGCTGGCATATATCCTACACCACGAGAACTAACTTGGTTGTGGTTCAGGGGAATTTGACAGCAAATCGCTACATGAATCAAATTCTTCAAACTCACCTTCTTTCAATCACTGACCGCTGTTCCAACGCTCCACCGAACACACCTCGTGTCACGGTAGACTACCTTCATAATGCCAAAATCAAAGACTTGCCCTGGCCGTCTCCAGATCTCCAGATCTCAACCCAATCCAACACCTCTGGGATGAACCCGATCGACGTGTACGTCAACGACAGTACACGCCGCAGACATTCCCACAACTGGCCAAAGCGTTACAAGTAGAATGGCGCAGAATTCCACATGACAGAATTCGAACACTAATCCAGTCAGTGTTGAGGAGATGCAGAGCCGTGATTGCTGCCCGGGGCGGTCACGCGAGATGCTGAGTTCAGCGCAACCTTGTGGCCTTATGTGACATGACAACAGTTTTCAATGCCTTTGTACATCGACATTATGTGACTATCGAGCTCCAAAATTTCATATTTGTATCTATGATATTAAATTAAATATATCGACTTTATTAGGGACAATAAATTCACGTAAAATCTACCTGGGCGTTTCCTTTTTAGAAGAGTGTATACTGTATACGCGTCACGTTCTCTCTTTGACATATTGAATTAATAGCTGACTACAACAAATGACAACTTTATGTAAGCTTACGAAAAAATTAAAATAAACGAATTTCCAAACGAACACCACATACATCATAGCATATTACATGTCTCTTATTCAAATGTGTGTAGTATATAACAACCATAACAAATAATTATGACATGTTTTATATTTGTATTGTTTCGTATGGTACAAAATGATGCATATTTATTTCTTAGGACTGATTGAGTGATTATTGTTTAACGACATATTAACAATCGTCTAGCTCTGCGCGGCGATTGTTCCCTTGGATAATGGCTCACATGTAACAGAGTGAAGTGTCTTGCAAATTGTTCTCCTTATTGGTGAACACACAGCTCGTCACGCCGAAGACCCAGGTTCGATTCCCGACATGGGTACAATGTGTGAAGCCCATTTCTGGTGTCCCCCGCCCTGATATTGCTGGAATATTGCTAAAAGCGGCGTAAAACCATATTCACTCACTCACTCCTCAGATTTACAAGGCGTTAATGAGGGCATATGATCCTGGGTGGTAAAGGTATCGGAATATGTCAAAATGAAGTAACATGAACCCAATATTTTAAATGTTGAAAACATATGATGATCTTGGTATAGTATAATATGGGCATATAAAAAATAGTCAAATTGTTTATGGAGGTATACAATGAATAGTGGTTGTGAATGGCATTGCATATGGACGCATACTATTCACAGTTGTTGTGTAGGAACAAAATTTCTAAGTTTGTTGACAATAGTGGTCCAAACGGTCTTTTTATGTACGCACACTTACCACAGTGAGTGTGAAACAGAACAGGACAAGCATTTCGAAATATTTCCTGTCTTCCATGTTTGTCGTGTGCTCTTGTTTCTGAAAACATAAACACAAAACATATAACTATTAAATGATAACTTTAAGCAGTGCTAGGATAGGCAACATATAGAACATGTGTGAGGCCTTACCATGCATAGCGTGAAAATGGAACATAGCGATGTCTTAACAATATACTAGTAAATAATTGGTGAGCGAGTAAACTATGGTTTTCCGCCGCTTTTAGCAATATTCCAGCAATACCATGGCGGGGTTACCTGAAATGAGCTTCACACAATGTACCCATGTCGGGATTCGAACCCGGGTCTTCAGCGTGACGAGCGAACGCTTTAACCACCAGGCTACCCGACCGCTCCACAATATATATAAAAGCGACAAAGCCCTTTCCATAGTCATAAGAAAACTCTGCTAAAAGCAGAGACACTTTTACTATACCAACAATATTTTGATTAATGTTTATGAATTACTATCAAATAGTGTTTGCGAAAGGGCGAGCGTGTCATGCCTCAATGCTGGCACTTGTCACAAACACACGCAAAGGCAAATCAATTGTTCACCTAAAAACCACGGGAACATATGGTACAAGTCAAAATAGGGAATTGCATCGGACAACAGTTTTGCCACATTTGCCCTAAATTTGGAAATGTCCTCATGTCTGACATGAAACTGTTTCAAAGCTTCATTGAGGCCTTCTGGTGTTTTGGTTAATGTATTGGAGAGCATACATTAATTGTGATATGAAACAAGACTGATTTGTCTTAACTTTATGTCTCTACGGTTACATACCAGTGAGGACAGGGCGGATAACAGTGGAGACCCATTATGTAATATGGACAAAAGTAACGTGTAGGGTTCATGGCCGAAATGTCGAACATCTTTTATGTCGTAGGATCTAATGGCAAAATTACAAGGTTGTAATCAATGCCCAGGACCCAACTTTCGAAACTGTGCAATACATTAACAAACCATTTTGCGGTACGAAATTAACTTATGTTCTCGTGAGAATTTCTCTTTAAAATAAACAGTTTTAATAATTATAAAAGTGAAAATAGACTGAAAATAGATGAGTTTTGAGATGAAAGTCAAATGAGGTGATATGAGTTTAACGTCGCGTCCAAGATTACTGCACTTACATAGCGACGTTCATGCACGTGTGTGAGTGTGTGTGTGAGTGAGTGAGTGAGTGAGTGAGTGAGTGAGTGTGTGTGTGTGTGTGTGTGTGTGTGTGTGTGTGTGTGTGTGTGTGTGTGTGTGTGTGTGTGTGTGTGTGTGTGTGTGTGGTACTAGTCCGAACTAATGCCGTATTTAAAGTGCTAGCCCACAGAGATACCATGCCGCAGTTAAACATAAATACCAAAATCAGACACAGTATACTGACTCCGAGCCGACCAGTCCTTGTTTTAGCCCCTTAATGCCGAGCGTCAGGTAGGGTAACAACAAATATCATCTTTTAACGTCTTTTGGTATGAGGCGGCCGGGGATCGAATACCGGACCTTCCGTTCTCCGGGCGGACGCTCTACCACTAGACCACGGATGCGGTCTGAACGTGAGTTGATCCAGTGTATACTATAAATGTCAGATTGGGTTTACATCTGGAGACATGGAGGACCATGGCAGGACCTGTATGTTGTGATCCCTGAAAAAGACTTTTGTCAGTCTTGCCGTGTGAAGTCGGGGTTGTCTTGTTGGAAAGTGACGTTCGCTTGTTGCATACTGGGACAGACATGTGGCCATGTAACGTTGTACCGTTAAATTCTCCAGAATTGCACCAAGTCTGTTCTATCAGTGTAGCAGATTTCTGCCCACATAATCACACTACCACTACCAAATCTGTCCACCTATATGCAGTTTCGTGCATAACGTTTCCCTGTAAACACGTTGTCTACTATCCGCACGGCGAAGAATAAAACGTCACTCTGCTGTCCGAGGTCACGTGTTTCATGACTTTCACAATGTTGTGTTTGGGATCTTGATTTTTTTTTTTCGGTACTGTTCTTGCGAAATAAATCACTTAGTTTCATTGCCAGACATTGGTGTATTTTCCTCTAGTTTCAAATCAAAACAAAAGATATACTCCCTAAGTTTTTGCATCGTATATATAAAGCAAGTAAACATTAGAATATGAATGTTCAAAGTAGAAACATAGTTTTAATAAATAGGAAAATATGATGATAAAAAGATAAACATTGATGTGTTATCAATGCAGACAAGGTTACCTGGAGATTTTAATTTAGATTCAGTAGTACCCTACACCTTATCTCAATTCTTCTGTGACATGATATATATACAATTATAATACAAATGGGTTATCGCCAATTTCACAATCCGGCGTTTGATCACGTGATGCAGATACAGTTTACTCTGCATAATTCAAACACTGCGTTTCACCTATTCACTATTCACCTTTCTGTAAGTATACGACCCGTGAAGATCCACGTGATTGGGATCGATGACATGCATCAATCAAGTCAGCGAGCCTGACCACCCGATCCCGTTCGTCGCCTTTTACGACAAGCATAGTCGCCTTTAACGGCAAGCATGGGTTGCTGAAGACCTTTCTACCCCTGAAAGACAAAGGACAGGATTAGGTTTAGTATCTAAACATATTTTAAAGTGTTTGGGACATGATATTAATGTTCCTGCCAGATCAAAGCAAGCTGTGGAGACATCGTGTAACAGATGTTATTCCTCACCTGTGTTATGGACCGGAACAAAGGGTGTTTTCAAGCAAACGGGTCTGATTGGCAGAGAATTGGAACAAGGCAACTGGTCTGACCAGGGTATGTTCCAAAAACAAAAGGCCGATTCAGAGGGTGTCCATAAGGCAAAGGCTCCAAGCATATGCAGTTGGGCTGACGATGTAACCATGGGTTGTTCACAAGGCGACGGAATAACCAGAGACAATCTGTTGACAAATCTGCAGGTCCGACAAGGAGTTTACGAGATCGTGCAGGATGCACTCTCAGTTTATATCATGCACCTAACGTTGAATAAATTAGCCACCCTTGCCAACGCAACAGCTCTGTACTTATGATAGCTAACTGTATAAATATGTATACATGTTCTACGCACAGGTGATTTCTTCTTTCTCGTTAAAGCGGATAACCGCCAAATCGGCAAATAGTTATATAGTCACTGATCAGTGAGTGAGTGAGTGAGTTGGGTTAAACGCCGCTTTTAACAGTATTCCAGTTATATCGCGGCGTGTCAGCTGAGCCTGACCACCCGATCCTGATCTGTTGCCTCTTACGACAAGCATAGTCGCCTTTTTCGGAAAGCATGGGTTGCTGAAGACCTGCTCTACACCGGATCTTCACGGGTCTCAAAATTAAGTGTAATACCAGCGCACCACTGCTTAGTATATGAAACAATTGTAATATAGGTTAAAAGAGCCTCAGCTTGTCAATATAATTGTCAATAAAGGTTTTTAATAATGTATTAAATCCATATACAAGTATATATTCCATTGGCACAAACTCAGAAACTTATTTATTTTAATGCTTTTTATGTAATTTGTAATATTTGACTGAATTAATTATCCATTGCTCTATGGCCCTATGCTAGAAGTATATCAACCCAAGCATACCATTTTAAGAACAAATTGGTAGACGTTTTAGTTTTTTACCAACATCTAAATGTTACAATATGAAATCCACAAAATTATCAAAACCGTTTTAAACAAAATGAAAAGTTTTTTTGCACAAATATATCTGCTCAGCTCAGAACAATTTGCTAGTGGGACCTCTATTGTATGGTATGGTATGGTATGGTATGGTATGGTATGGTATGGTATGTACCGCCTCCGTGGTTCAGTGGTAGAGCGTCCGCCCGGAGAGCGGAAGGTGCGGGGTTCGATCCCCGGCCGTGTCATACCAAAAGACGTAAAAAGATGGTACTTGTTGTTACCCTGTCTGGCGCTCGGCATAAGGGGCTAAAACAAGAACTGGTCGGCTCGGAGTCCGTATACTGTGACTGAGTGGGGTATTCATGTTAAACTGCGGCATGGTATCTCAGTAGGCTAGCTAGCACAATAAATCGGCATCAGCCCGGACTAGTACAAGCAGACACACACAAACACACACACACACACACACACACACACACACACACACACACACACACACACACACACACACGTGCATGCACGTCGCTGCATGAGTGCAATAGTCTTGGACGCGACGTGAAAGCCTGGTGTGGTATGGTTTGGTTTGTGAGATGTTAATTCTTCATATAAAATTTGATGAAGACATCTCTCATCGAAGAGTAATACAAAACAATGGCGCGTGGCGTTACAACAGGCAAATGTGTTGTTTTAGTATTCAAAGTCATTCACAGGATGTCCCTGGATTGTTCAAGTTGATCGTCTTGTAAGACTCAAGTGTATTGAAAGTGGGAGTAGACTGAATGACTCCACTTCTGTTAATAGGTAACAGGTGCATGCAATGATTCATGAATTGTGTTGTTGTAAATCAAAAGTAGTCATTTGTTATGGTTGGTAATATATTTTAGAAACATAATTTAATCAGTAAAATCAAGTTCAATTTGATCATGTCAGTAAAAATAGTCAATCTGCTGCAACAATTATATTAATTTGAATTTCATACAAATATAATATTTGTAAAAATAACTTTAAAATATACCGTTGTAATTTATTTTCTATAAATTGTATGAAACGAATAAGAACAATACCGATGAAATTATTAAAATGACATGTGCTGTAACCTAAATGTGTCTGGTGCGTGAACAGGCAAAAAGTGACAAGATGAAAAGTGCGCTAAATGAAATTATTCAATTTATGTGCCTAAATAAGTCTTCAATTAAAATTTTACATTGCGTCGGCAGGATTGCTGGACCTGTGAAGATCCGGGGTAGAAAAGGTCTTCAGCAACCCATGCTTGCCGTAAAAGGCGACTATGCTTGTCGTAAGAGGCGACTAACGGGATCGGGTGGTCAGGCTCGCTGACTTGGTTGATGCATGACATCGATCCCAATCACGTGGATCGATGCTCATGATATTAATCACTGGATTGTCTGGTCC